TCATAGTGAGCAGTGGCATAGACTCGCTGACGGAGGGCATGGTGTCCGCCACACCCTCCATCTCAGACGTGTCCGCGTCACTGAAACTTTACATTAATATTTCACACACAGTCGCATATTAGGTTCTAATTCAATGCTAAGGGAGCATTAGTATTGAGTATGAATAAGGAAAAACTTAAGGAAAAATAATAATCAAATAACAGTGTGGAAGGAATGGTTGTTGTCACTAAGTGTTGATTTTCCATACTAATATTATAAAGAGGAAAGATTTGTATCTTTGTATGTATTGACATAACTCAAAAACTACTGAACCGATTTAAAAAATTCTTGCACCATTAAAAAGCTGTATTATTACTGAGTAGCATAGGCTACGTTTTTACTATTTTTTTTAATTTCACGCGGGCAAAGTTGCGAACAACAGCTTGTGTAATATAAATTACTACTGAAGGGACTATTTTTGTGACTAAAGAAACTAAATGTGGATAAAACTAGGGGTATCATAGTGATTTTTAAAGAACCATACTCATTAGGTGGCTGTGTTTGTGGCAGTATAGAGAAGGAGTGAAGCGCAGCGGGGCCATTGGCAGTTGATGTGATCAGAGCCGCTTCAATCTGCCCACTACTGGATATATCTGCCCCACCTTCTGCTGTACTTGAACTGTAAAAGTGTTACAAAGAATTTTTTACTTGATTTTTTTCTATTTCATAACTAAATGTTATTAGACACCAGAATATTATTTAGGCTAAGCCTAGGGTTCATTAATATGTATGTATTATTCATATAAATTTTTATTTATTTCACAATTTCGTTCTTGTTTCAATAATAAATCGAATAATACAAATTAAAAAGAAAATTAAAAGCACACACAATATAAGATTAAAGCTAATTTCTAGTCATGTTATTTACTAAATAACTCTTTCATGGTTTCAATTCTAAATAATTGATATGTATTACTGCATTCAGACAAAACCTATAAAAATATAATCCAATAATCAGAAGGTATACCTGATGCCTGTGCTAAGCACATCCTGGGCGGCACTGCTGATGTCATTGACATCGTCACTGCTGGCCACACCCTCACCTCCTCCCATGTCTTCATCCATTGTACTTGATTCTTCTGTAAGGTAATAAAACTGTAAGGACTTCTGTTTAACTGGTAAATAAATGATAGAAAATATATTACTTTGTAAAGTTATAGATATCCTGAAGTTACATTATATTAATATAAGAGTTTGTACTCTAAATGGCTGAATTGATCTTGATGAAATTTGGCATAGATGTAAAAGTTAGTCTGGAAGAACAAATAGGCTACCGGCATAATTCAATATAGTATTATTATAAATTACTACTTAAATTTAACTTAAGTTGTAACTTCTCATACCATCCTGCATGATAGGTGCACCATCCCCTTCTATGGGCATTGCAGAACTTATAGATTGGTCAGGTGACTCCTCCTGTGCAGCATCAGCCGACTCACTCTCATCCAACCCGGCCTCCTTCAATATAGGATCTAATGGATTGTCATCTTGTGGGGAGTTATCTTCAGTTGCTGCCTGTTTATGTTATCACATTTATAATACAACATGTCATAAATAAAAGCAAGTACATCAAGCATAAATTTTTTTTTTACATTTGCAAAGAAGACATAACAGAAAATTATTTACAAAAAAAGGTATATACAAATTAGAATTAATAATGAGTTTTCCACCTAATATGCAGAAGAGATCTCATTCAAATTTGGTGTAGATGTAGAGCATAGTCTGGAACAACACATAGGCTACTTACTTTTATTTAATCTCATGTGGAAAGGGTCACAACTAAAATCTAGTAAGACAATATTAAATAGAATGATCACAAAGAACACTAACTGGTGTAGACAAGCAATTGTCTCCTATGTAGGCAGATTCATCTCCCATATGACCTGGGGTTGTATCATCTATGTCCATTTCATCTTCTGCTTCAGCTTGACCTGCTGCAAACGTTAAAAATACTAACTTAAAACAAATTACATATTTGCAATTGTCACTTGTATGTATTTAAAATGTTTATAAGTCATTATTTGATTAATTACAAGTAAAGCGTACGTATTGTACGATAGAATGTGCATGTGTTCTTACCATGCTCAGACAAATGTTCTTCTCCATCAGCTTGTTGCAGTCCAGGCTCCACATCTAAAACGTCACTACTGCTTGTTGGGGCACCGTTTGTTGCTGTTTTAATCAGAAATATTACGTATATGTAATGAAAATTAAAGTAAAAGATCAACAACACACCCTGATTGATGCAAATTAAATGTCTGACTGGGAAACAATAATAAGTTAATTTTACTATGAAATCCAATATGAAATCTCACTTCACACCTGTTTCTTCCACAGAAACTGCTTCCGAATCATTAGCCGGCACGTTATTATCAGAAGTTTCCCCTAAATCAGGCAAGTTTTCTTCTAAGGGGGACATTTCCGCGCCATCGGGTAATTCACCGTGAAGAGCGGAATCAGATTCCATTTTAAATATATTTCAAGCGACTTCACGTATAAAGCACAAAAAATGATTGAATTTTACTTATGAAACTAAGCAATAAAGTATAACATTATCCTTAAAAACCGAAAATTCAACAACTATTTGACAAATTATTAAAACACGCCATAAACAACAATGTCAAGCCATTTTGGCGTCATTATTTGACTGTTATGCAGATAAAAAAATCCACAGAATATTATAATTTGTGTGCTATTTAACTATTACCCATTATATTATTTTGACTGTTTAATTTATTTATTACTTAAATACATTTTAAGTACTTCACTTTAAGATGAAAATGGGAGATAAGCGTACTGCAACTAAATGCTTTAATTTATAGTAAAAAGACATATTTTTCACAAGATTGTTAAAAACACAACTTGACAATTTCCTTTTTTGACAAACATCAGTGTCAGATGTCAGAGGGATCAGCTGTGAAAATGAGTTTTAATAATATAGAAATTAATTGATTCCTTTGTTATTTAGTTGTAAATATTTTGTCTAAATCGTATTACCTGCAATATTTAATGATTGTTCTAAAAACAAAATTCAAAAATGAGTGACAAAAGAAATGAAAAGCCAGGAGAGGGTTTAAGATCTCTAAGGTCTACAACAGCCTTTCGTGTTATCAATTTTGAATTGTATGCAAAACCTGTAAGTTTATTGCGTAATAGACTGAAACGTGAGAAAAAAAAATCATTTGGGTACTAATCTAATGCTTTTACTTTCAGAATATTGTTATAATGGGCTTGGGCATAACATGTTTTGGTCTAGCTCTTGGTTATATTGCATACATGCGACAAAAGTACGAGTCAATGGGCTACTACTCAGCAATTGATAAAGAAGGCAAGGAAGTTTTTGAAAAGAAGAAATCTAAATGGGATTAGTTCAAATGTACAAATTATATTAAATTATAATTAGTGTGTAAATTCTAGAAATAAAAGCCATAGTTAATTTATCAAATTTTTATTATATTAATGTAGGTGTTCCAACACCTTGTAATAATAATCAATATAATCCTTGTTTAAGGCAGCATATATAAATTTGAAAATATACAATAATTGAGAGTATACAAAAGCAAATCAAATTTTTGTTTTTTCAATAGGTGATACATACATACATACACTTCTTGTTTATCAATATTATAGAGACTGTCTGCCTGCAGACTTTCTTACTATTTCTTTAATAATAGAGATTTGTGTTGGCCACCAGAGAATAAAATAAGTTTTGGTTTTAAACTTTCCTATTTTGGAAAGTTGTTCCTTGATACCGTTTTATGTGCATTTTGAATGCAAACACATAGTGAGCAAATGTTGGACTTTTGTAATGTGCTATTTATGTAGATACAGTAGATTCCTTATAGAATATGCGACATTATCTTCCACTGTTGGAAACCAATAACCTGTGAATTAAACTCCGATATTAAATTATAATTTCATAGTTTTTAATCTGTGCGTGTTTTTTCTGTGGTAGTGTTGGTGTCATTTTTGACATCTGTCAAATGTTTTAAATTTCAATCACGTCACTTCCATAAATTAAACTTAATTTGTTATTGTATGTATAATGTATTTAAGAGTGTTATTTACATACTCGTTTGATAAGGCAGCATTCTATAAAGCTACATAAAATTAGAAAACGTTTAGACTTATAAGAAGAAAAAAATCGTATTTAAAGTATCATGTTTTCTGCTTTGAAAAAATTAACAAGAAGTAACGATGATCGCTGTGCAGCTCCTTTGCCGATGTCTTCTTCTTTACAAAAGAAATTCTCCAGAGGAGTCCATTTTAATAGTAAAACAGTATTCTATATTAGCACTTTTTTCTTCAAATGTACACACATTTAGAATAAACTTCTATTTATAATTGTTTTAATTTTTAGTGAAAATATTAATAAAAGGAGACCGGAACGTCGGAAAATCGTGTCTTCTACAAAGATTACAAGGTGGACCATTTACTGAGGAGTATGTCCCGACAGAACAAATTCAAGTGGCACCAATTCATTGGACATATAAAAATACTGACTACATTGTAAAAGTAAGTATATCGAAAATAATAAACAGTTTAAAAACATGTCCATTTTGTTGAGGCAATTTTTTCAAATATCAATTTTGTGCCTATTCTTGTTCCAAAAACATTGCTGTTGAACAAAATACACAGATACCTATATAAAAAAAACTTACAAGGCACTTTCTCATTAAATATGTTAAGTATTTTTGTAGGTAGAAGTATGGGAAGTAGTAGATAAGGGTCGAGCAAAAAAGAAGCCACCTTTAGGATTAAAGTTAGAGAACCAGGCAGCACCTGCAACACAAGATGAAGAGTATGAGACTCCTGTGCTTGATGCCACATTCCTGGATGTTTATAAAAATGCCACTGGTGTTATACTAATGTTGGATATAACTAAACCCTGGTAAGAATAAAATACATATTACTTTTTAATTTGTGTATGCAGTAGAAACCATTATTAAACTTATAAACAATACTATACTGGTTACTAAATATTTTTATTAACAGTGTTGGACAATCCCTTGGATGTGTAAACTAATTTTATGTAGATTTCGATACAAAGGTTACATATCAAGATATCTTATAAGAGATGCAACTCTTCATTTGTTCAGGGCAAAAAAAAAGCTAGGGAATTATATATATGGTGACAAAAGCTAATTCTCAGCTATGAACTATTAAATATTGCAGGACATTTGAGTATGTTGTGAAAGAATTGTCCCGGGTGCCAGCGGACCTGCCCGTTGTGGTTCTGGGCAACCACTGTGATATGCAGCATCACAGACAAGTACATCCACACCATATAGACCAAGCTTTACATCATGCTAAACTTACAAGGTACCTTTTATTTGGTATTTTTGTTCAGTTCTGTTGAGATTACGACCACATCATCTTCAAGTTATAAGATTCTGAAAATACTACAATAGTTAAAATTTTACTTCAATGCAGGTAAATTGATTTTTCAACATTTTCTATTCCAGAACAGCACCAGTGCGTTATGCAGAATCTTCTATGAGGAATGGTTTCGGTTTACGATTGTTGCACAAGTTTTTAAGTGTACCATTCTTAAGACTACAGAAAACTAGTCTGTTAGAACAGTTGCAGAGAAATCAAAGGGATATGGAGGATGTTGAGAAGGAATTGGATGAATTTCAAGTATATTTTATATTAACTTACTATGAAGTCTATTATTTTAATTGATTTATTATCTATGATTGGTATTTTCTTTTAGAATTCTGATGAAGCGCATTATAACACATTTTTGGACCGCCTCGCTAATAAGCGGAGACAAAGCAGCGAAAAGGAAGAGCCACGGGTGATAACTGACAGATCACCAAGCATTGTTATAGGAGCGGGGAAACCAATAATACCACCTAATGTCAACCCACTTGTGAGTTTCTTTTTATTTTTTTATTTAATACATAAATTGTTTTCTAATCTATAATTGTATTGTCAGTTAGCGCAGTCATTGAATCCAAAAGGGATAAAAGCATGCCATAGCATACCAGATAATACACAAAGTGCTCAATCTCAGTATGTGAGTCCGGATTTATTGAAACGCAAACAACCTGTTAGTATGGAAATGACACCTTCCCGGCAATCACAACAGGACAGGTTAGTATTTATTACATTGCTTAATGGGTATCGAATTTATTTCTTTTACTGTAACTCTGATGAGTAGTAGTAAATGTCTTTGATGGTATTTATTCCGGTTTACAGTGCTCCGGGAACACCATCAGGTACAAATGCGTCTGCATCCTCAGGAGCTTTAGATGAGTTCTATGCAGGAACACTTGATAGCAGTTTCTTGGAGGACTTGACTCCATTGTCGAACTCTAATCATGAGGTGGCATATGACACTGAAAGGTATATTTCAAGATCTCCCTGATGTAACCATATTTTCTTCCCTTAACTAAATCTATCTATCATTCGCAGTTCTTATCATGTCATTTGTAATCTGTAATCTACCTGTTCAATAACATAAAAATCTTTTTTATTTGGTACCTCTGCAATAATGGTGTTTTTAGCCTAAAATGCCAAACGCACCTGAAATGCTATATTATATGTAGTGACTACTTCAAATCACAACTATAATATATTAATGTTGCCAATTACAGTGAGGATGAGGCAGTGATTAATCCAAAAGTGACAGTAGAGGAAGATGATTTAGACATAGACAATATTCCATCTACCAATCAAGTTAAAGAATCCACATTGACCATAGATTATACTATGAGAATGGATGAAGAGGATGAAAGTATAGATAAAATATTCATGAAACGAGCTGTAATAAGCACAGATGATATAGAAGATAATACAATGACATTGAGTGCGCCAGATCTCCATCCGGAAGTGCATTTGTCATTGAATAATGATTTTCCTATATGGGCTGGAGATTCTAGTGTTAGAAGATCACCAGAAGGTAAAGTAACTTTGATTTATAATTACATAATATTTATTTAGCTTTAATTGTGAATTTAGTTTTAATCTGATAACTGTTTGTAGTACATTTAAATTTAAACATGTTTCAGGTGGAGAAGACCCAGATATTTCGAAAGAACCAAACTCCAAGGTAATGCAGTTTTTTAACTAGTTATTTTCTAAAGGAAATTTTTGAAAGTAAATTAACATTTTTGATACTTAAAACTATCAATCTAGTAAAAGAGAATGTTTGGCTTCCATTATTGCAGGTAGAAAAGAAACACAAAAAGAAGAAATCCAAAGATAAAGATAAAACTGATGGTAATGAGAAATTGGAACGTAAAGAGAAAAAACACAAACACAAGAAAAGCAAGAGTGAGAAACGGAATTCGAATCCACAACAAGATTTATTGGCTCCCACTGTCACTGCTGACTTTGATTATGGAGACTATGATAGTATTTAATACTAGTAATCCGCCCTGGCATCGGGTGGGTATACACAATATATTAACCTTGTTTACCAATTGGTGAAAAAATTACTACAGAACCATTTGGGGTTAAAAAAATTTCCTCTTTAAATTAGCATAGACAAGCTAGTGTTAGTAGTAATATTCTATTTAGCTTTATTTTGTATGCAATGCTTCATATTTAATGATATAAGTACACATTAATTACTTAATATGTTACTTAACATTAATTTAATGCTTTTATGAATTAAGAAAGAATTTGTGAATGTGAGATCACACTATTTATGAGATCTGATTTTTTTTAAAAGACTTAAAAACATGTTTTGGAGCCAGTATATTTTACATTAAGGTGAGTTTATTACTTTACAGTTAATAAAAAAAAGTACTGTATCAAATCATCGAAAATCTAGTGTTTTTTTTTTCTTCTTATATCATGCGATATATTCTCTTGTCCTATTATATTTTATTTAATTACAATTGTTCACTCTGCACAGCTTATTTAATAAAAAGGGTTTTAAATAAATGTTTGCTATCTTCAAATAATGCATTGAATATTTCAAAATATATTTTGTATTTTTGTACAATATGAAACTGTAGAAAGGATTTTTGATCTAACATTGATAAAATAACTATGATCTCTATGTTTATTTCAAACTTGTATGTTAATATTCGAATAATTATAAGATTCGAAAAGAATGTTATTGCTTGAAAATGTTAAATAAGGATGCTTTTTTCCATTAGGGTATGTTCAAAGTTGCTAAATGAAATAATCTATTTGTATTTAGGCCAGTTTATGTTATTTAGCATTTTATATTGAGTTTCAATGTGTCTCTAGAGAAAATAAAATTTACAAACTGATATTTAGAACAGAATAGCACAGCAAATCGTATACCTTTAAGAAATTAATATTATAGCCTGACCAGGAATATAAAACTTTTGCCAAATCGGCGAAAAATACGGAACTAAATTCTTTCCGCACATTATAAAGTGGTCTAAACCCAATCTGAGGACGAAAATTTTCTTGTTCTTGGTTAAGCTATAATTAGTATCAAGTTCCAATCAGAAATCGAAAAGATGTGATTTCTAATTTTTTAAACAGTATGAGATAAATTATAGCTCAAAAACTGCCTTGTTCTTTGGAATATTTGGCGCCAGGGCTTCCAAGAAACATTTGATAACACTGTTCTCAACTGGTCTTATGCATCTGAATATCGTGATTATAACGTGTTTTGTGAATTTTTTATCACTTAGCGTACATTGTTGGAGCTGTTTCAAATTTTATAATGTTGAGTGTGTTTATATTTTGTAAATGTTTATGTAGCGTTATATATCAGCCTTGTGTGTTGGCTATACATTGTATGTTTATGTAAAAATAAGTGATTTTAGAAATAAATTTGCTTGTTAATGTGTTGATTTTTTTTATTTTTATGCCCCCGCCGGCAGACAAGCGTGAATCGTTAGTCTTTTGGCGACATTAAAATAACTATATCTCGGGCAGTGCATCACATGACATACGCCACATAAGTGTATGGTGGGATGAGGCAATGTTTTCGGAAGTCAGGTTGTAAACTGATGAAGATGGGACAGAATGTTTAACGAAAGATGTTTAATAAATAGATTACATTCTATTCAAAAAATGTAAATATACAACCACATCGATATTTTATTGGTTAGATTATAAAAATTGGACCACTTGTAAGAAGTCCACGCAGTAGTGTAACAATATTACAAACAAAAATCTCTACATAACAGAACTTACACATATTAGTCAACTTTATTTTATACAAACTATGGTACACGATTAATTAACATTAATATTTACCTAAATTTATATTTTATACATTCTATGTATAGTAGATAATTTCTTCATTTTGTAATAAGTTAATAAAACTATAAAATATTCTCTTCAGTTAAACATTAGGCATTTCATAAGGCTAATGTAGGTATTGGAAACAATATTTGGTGGTTTTATGTCTTTAGAACAACGCGAAGTAGGTACTCATTCAACAAAATATTTGATACAAAGCACTTTGTACTTGACTTCACTTCTATCATCAACTTTTCATCATCAGAATTTGGAATACATTAAATTGTTTCGCGGACTTACTATAACAATATAAAAATAAACCTAACGAAGTATAACTTCCTAGTCATTTGGCTGACAGTAGACAAGGTACAAAACGAACAAAATAAAATGCCGTCAAATTATAATACAGTTATCACACATTCAGCTAACACCGCTTTCATGCAAAATGTACTTTTATTAAATAGAGCAGAGAAGACTACGTAACGCTACGTCGTGGAAGGACTAAGTAGAAAGTCGAACATTAGATGCAACCAAAATTGAGAACATATAAATATTAAAGCGAGTGATGACGACAGCTTGGAGCCGTGCACTCCACTGACCTAACACTTGCGCCCGCGCTGCTTTAACAATGTCTTATAAACGCATCGAGCCCAAGCTATCCTCACCACTCCATTAGTCAACTGAGAATCTCTTTCTACTTAATATAATTAGTAGCTGCTCAAAGGTAGCCCAGATTAATCTAATAATTATGAGCTACACTAATGCATCGTCAACAATTTAATTATATCTTGTTTATAATATCAAAAGCGATCTAGCAATGTATCAATAAAATATTTCAATCCGAAAACCACATTATTCACTGATGATATACATATATATTTGAAACAATATATCTATTCAAAAGGAATGTTTAAAATTGAAGAATGAATCAGTTAATAGTATAGATATTCTGTCAAATAGTGAACAATATATAATACATATTTCATTCTGTAACCGATATACAACAAATTTCAACATGTAGAGCGGCGACGCACCGCAGCCGCTGAGGCGGTCGTCGATAGGAACACACGAGGTGGCTCTCTTCGCACTGCGGCCGACTGCAGCCGACTGCTGCCGACTGCTACCGACTGCTGCCGACTGCTGCCGACTGCAGCCGACCGCAGACAACTGCTGCCTAACAATCAGCGCTACACCGCACTGCGCGACCAACGAACACGGAAAACTAAAACCCCATCGTGTTTTCCTACATTCGGGCGTTAAAACAATATCGACTATAACCACATCAGTAACACTCTTTATCTAATTTCATCGAAAAATTTACCTAGTTATTTTAATAATTGTATCTCTCACCAACAATGAGCTGCAAAATAATTTGAATGCATTTCTAGCGTCTTCCTTAAATATATCATCTAGATAATCTTATGTACAATCTAAAGATAATTAATTGTTCAAATCTGTT